ACCATTTGTTATACTTTATAGAAACATCCTCACCATAATCATTATGCATTGATTGAAGATTTTGTAAGGAATTCCTACGAAGGTGCCAAGAACAAAAGCGATGGCGAGTTTTAGGAAAAACTTTGTGAATAGCACCACTCATAGCTTTATCTTGATCAGTGATGATTGTTACTGGTGCTATACCCGACATACATTTTAACCATTGGCTAAATAACCATATAAACGTCTCCTCCGTTTCATCGGCCAGTAACGCACACCCAAATAGAGTAGACTGTCGATGATGGTTAACGCCCGTAAATGGTGCAAACGGCAATTTTAAATTGTTCGTTCTATATGTAACATCAAAGCAAACAACATCTCCAAATTGCAAGTAAGAAGTCCTCGACCTACCATCCATCCAAAAAACACTTCTCATCGTCCCATCATTTTCTAAATCAAGTGCGAAGTAAAATTGAGGATCAGATACCTTTTTCTCTTGAAATTGACGAACTATGTTCACGCACTCATGGCCGACGTTGTTTCTTCGTTTAAGTCTAAGTTGTGCTTGGCATTCTTGTTGAGTGAGAGAGCCTTGTTCATTTCCATGAGCAACGTCTACAACCTTACAAATGGCAGAAGGCCGTAAACCTTGATTGTCAAGAGTATCTATCAACCTTTTTGTCGATTGAGCTCGATGAAGTGTCCGATGTGAGTAGTTCTTCTTTACCCGAGTTGGGGTGGTTAATGGATGACCATTATGCTTACTGTTTAACTTTCGAACCACCCATTTTTCAGTGCTTCTATCAAGTCCAATAACCATCCTTGCGTTGCATCCACATCTTGTATCGAACTTTTGAATTACATTCCGACCATCTTCTCTTTTATCTTTTAAAGATTTAAAGCCTTCTTTGTCACATACACTTTTGAATTACATTCCGACCATCTTCTCTTTTATCTTTTAAAGATTTAAAGCCTTCTTTGTCACATACAGATATTCTAGATAGGATTGTATCTTTCTTTCTCGACCAAGCTGTGTGACCCTTGCGAACACCAAATCCCTTAAGTCTGGCGTATGCATTGTAGAAATTATAAGCTTCCTCATGAGTAGAGAACTCCATTCCGATATATGGATCAACGCTGTTTAAATTATCTTCACCATTTTCAACGCCCATAAGCTCATCACCATTCTCCTCATGCTCGGATGCCTATAAAAATAGAGAAACAAAACTCATGCTAAAAGACAACTATTTTTGTATATGTCATTAGTTAGTAGTACACTATAAACAATAAGATATTATCACCTGAGGGGGAAGCCATGTTGTAGATAGTAGATCATGGTCCTGGCTTTTATCTTCTTCCATTGTTGCCTCACGTGAGAGAATTGGTGGAGTGTCTATACAAGCTATCAAATTATCACATATAAGAAGTTCAAAATCGCTCAAAAAACGTCATCAAGTTGATCTTTCAATTTCACTAAACAATTTCTAAACGATAGTTTAAACCAAATTTAAAGTTTATATCCAATTTAACAATACATGGCAAAAATAGCTCTAAATTATCCGGCTCGTAGCCATAGAGTGAGTGCTGCAAACCAAGTAATGTATGAGCTGAAATTAATGGGTTTCGGGTCGGGTTTTAACTGTTTATATATATGCTCCTCTATCCGAAAACACTTCATTTCATCAGTTCTCCCCAGAAACCCTAGTCCCCCTCTCTCCTCTCTCAAACCCTAGGTGTTCTTGGTGATTTTCGGAC